GGCTTATTTACGCCGTCCCAGCCACGCGCTAGGGCTGAGATGGGAACGCGGAACTCGCCCGTGTCTATGATTGATGCAGTCATTGTTTCTCATGAGTTCACTGACCACTGTCACCAGCTCACGCTGCTCGAGCTTCCTCGCGCTACACCCATCTTTGCGTCCGACGTCGCGGCCGATATCATTCGAAGCTGGAGTCATTTCGAGCAAGTCATCACCACGCCCGCTCTAGGCGCCAGCGTTCCGTGGTCGCGGCTGACTGTTGGTCCATTACCAGACTGGTTAGCCATCGGTCGCGTCATCACACCTGGAAACGCGTTATATTATCACGCAGCCTCCCTCATTGCATTTGACATTGGCCAAGGCGTCGGTGGTGAAGCCGTTATTTACTCCCCCCATGGCATCGAGAGTAATGCGCTGACGAGCGTTGAATCGTCGGGCTTGAAGACATTGGCTCTTCTGCATGGTCTCCACAACGTGAGTATATGGATGACAAAGCAGCTCAACCTCGGTGCGCTCAATGGCATAAAAGCTGCCAAAACTTGTAAAGCCAAATTCTGGATACCGACTCATGATGAACCAAAGAGAGGAGGAGGGCTAATTGCACCATTGCTGCAACGAACCTGCTACTCCTTCTCAGAAGCCGTGAAGCACGAAGAAGAGCTACTGGGACAATCAGCAAGCAAAGAAGCCTCATCCACCTACCAGTTTGCTGAGCTCGGATCGGGAGATGGTCTTGTCTTGTCTGCGTGAACGTCTTCCAGTTCTGACCGCTACGCATCAACATCCGTCGGCATCATAAATGCCACTCTTTATTAGCTTTTTCACATTTTCAACTGCTTCATGTACTGTCGAAGCTCTTACATTATCTTCTTCCAAGTAGCCTTGCATTAAGAGTTGCGTTCTGTGTCATGTTCAGGCTGTGTCATCACTATGGAATTACATCCAGGTGTGCGAGATGGCGACTTAACATATATGTAGTTGTGCTTAGTGAATAATATGCCTAGGCACAGTAGATCTGGGTACAAAACGCTATAGAAAAGTCAGATGTCCAATATTAATGTGGCAGTACAATTACTTTTTTGGTCTACTTGGTGGGAACCCGAGGTCTACGGGTACTAGACTTGATGGGATTCGGCGTTTAAGAATACTCGTTACTTTGACAAGATTCGCGATAAGCAGCAGCTATGCTTAGAGAGAAGGCTTGATGTTTCATTTGTATACGTGGCTAAAGTTTGGATCTGCGAGGAGTTATGTATACGGCGTGAATTTGCGAAGCACCTTTTATGTGTCTGGATCAAAAAAACATGGGTTTACTTCTTTGAAGGAGAGTCTATGAATATGTAGTGTACTTTAGGCGAGGATTCTCGTGTGAATAACATCTACCCTCTACCGGAGCTCTTCTTCGCGAATCATACGGCGAATCGGCTCCATCCAACGGCACGGTATAATTGGCAAACGAGTTTTTATGTATTATATTTAACGCCCGGACGTCCCATAGTTGGGCAAAGGGCGTGCAAAACGAGTTTTAGATTGGAATAGAGTCCTGTAGGGTTAGTCTGTATATCGGCGCTACTTTGTTTCTTTTCTTGTCAGGAACGGTGTACTTGGAGATTGGTCATGCGCGATGCAAGCCTGCATTATTTAGCGAGGCCTATGCTGATGTTACATGTAGTAATGGTGCATGATGTCTATTCTATCTAACGGAGGATGCTCCCGCTACCCAAAATGTATGTAGAGGGTATCTCTGGTGAGATGCCTGTAATTAACTAACCGTAACCCCTGTTATTTTGAGAAACTCAACCTTCTTTTTAAGCCACTTAGGATCTAGTATTCTGATCGACTTCCAGCCACTTGTAGTTTTCCTCTGGTCAATCAGAGCCCAGTATCAGGATGCCCCCCTCACCCTCGGCTCAGCTACCTCTCTCATCCTCAGTTGATCTACACTCACATCCGAGTGTTCCGACTTAAGAGGAACCTAGGAAGGTCTTTGGTGCGCAACAATTGATATGAACCATGTCCGGCGATGCCCAGAAAAGACGTGTCCCGCCTGCGGCAACGCTAGTTTCATCTCGTGACGTCTACATAACGAGGTATAGAATACATACAACCCGGGCACCGGAGTGGCGAGGGCAGCATTCATCGCCGCGAGGCCAATTCAAGACAGTATTGACGAAGCTAGCTGCTTGTGCTGCATGTCCTTTGATGTCGATTATGGCTGCACCTCTGTATCCAGTCACATGTAGTCAATGGCTTATTGGATCAGCATCGAGAATATTAAGTCGGCAAAGAACATGTAGACAGGTACAGATACGCGGCTTTCTCAACGTCATGCAGATATGGTGTTGAGGCATTTACTGCCTTCTGCTGCTGCTGCTGAGAATTGATATTCGTAGCTGTAATTTTTACGCTGTACCCACAGCCCCCCTGCTCAGACCCACTTTTCTTATCCGCCCACATCACATCGGTTATCCGACGCCCTATTAAACAATATTGGCAACTCACCGAGGCCGGAGCGGCCCCGGGTCGGTATCAGTCATGAAGAGGGGTGCGCCGCCGGCTAGATTAGCCGGCATTGCTGGAAAGTGTGTGGTATCGTGCAAAGCAACTGGCGGTTGCGGGCCGGGGCCGGTCATGGCCGCCCAATCCGTGATTCCTATTAAATCATATAACTTTTTATTTTATAGAATTATTCTCCTGCTGCTCGGCTGGGATACTTACTGCCGGCATACCCCCCCCCCCCCCCCCCCCCCACCCTCTTCGGGATTTCATAACGCTTTGCTTTCCACATGGTGCGCCATTGCAGTACACAGGGTTGATCACGGAATAGGTCAATCGTTTCATCTTCGAAACCGAATAATGATATCCAGGATGATGAAGCGTTTCTGTACGATAGTCCTGTTTTGTTGCAGCGCGCAGACGGTTTTGACGCTGATCCTCACTTCTTCCCGTTTTCCGGTTTCCCAAGGATTAATCCAGTGAGTGGTCTTGATCTCTTGCAAATCCCCTATGTATATAAGATTTCCGCGGCCTCTAGGACCTCTAGAAAAGTATCTAGACCTCTAGACCCTCAGAGCCCCTAAGAGAGCCAAAGTCGTTTATTATCCTGAATACAATCTTTGCATTCCAAGCCCCCTTTTTCGACCCTTGTCACAGGAGCGCTCCCGTGTTCTATAGGAAGTCAAGGACGTCGCTTCCTCGTCAAGCTCATCCAGCTTTCGCAATTGCATATCTGCTCAAAAGTCCACACTGCCAGAATTGAGAAGAATCAAAAAAAAAAAAATAATAATAAAAAATGGCAGCCCCCGGGACACAAACCGACAATGTCTCTAGAGGCATCGCGAATATCAACCAGTACAGGAGTATTGTGCTGGATGTCTTTACCAAAATGGGCTACGACTATAAGAAGGACATCATGCCAGAGGATGCGGAACTTCGAAAAGCCTTGTCAGATATATTGGAGGTGGACACCCTATCTGCGACGCAACGTCGGGCCCTGTCGCCCTACTTCGAAATGGGCTACGACTATGCCAACATTTGTTGTCATCATCTCCCCGCGGAGACGAAAAACTTGATCGCCACATATCTCAGCCTGGTAATGTTTATGGATGATGATACCGGGCTGGAGAAGAGGACGATACTGCAGCAGTTCAATCAAAAGTTTTTGAAGCACGAACCTCATGGAGACAGATTTTTCGATCAGCTCGCCCAGCTCCTGATGCATGACATAGAAAAGCACTTCGGTCCATTTGCCACAACCTACATTATCAAGAACCTCATGGAGTATGTCGTAGTTAGTGTCTCGGAACAGCAATATCCAAATGGATATCCCGCCACGAGCGAGTGTTTTCCTGATTGGCTTAGGTCGAAGTCTGGCAACGGTGAAGCATTTGCCTTTTTCATCTTCCCAGAAGTCCTGTTTCCGGAGAAAGACATGCTGGGCCACTACCTTGCCGCTATCGCCGACATAACAGACTGGTTGGGCTTGGTCAACGACGTGCTGTCCTATTACAAGGAACGTGTCGTGGGAAGCGAGGACAACTGCTACATTGTCAACAAGGCCGTCATGCGCGGCGTGACGGAGTTGGAGTCTCTTCACGCAGCTGCAAAGCATATTGATGTGCTAACTGATCGCATTACAGCAGTGCTGTCCCCAAATGAGGAGCTTCTTGCTACTTGGAGGGGCTTGCAACGCGGATATCTCATGTTCCACGTGAAGCAGCCTAGATATAAGCTCAAGGACTTACTTTGAACTAAGCTACGTGCACTTGTATACATACACGCTACACACTTACACACTTGGACACCATTAACATACACACACACACACACACACACACACACACACACACATACACAAACGACCCAGGTGATTCAACTCGCCGAGAGAGAAAACGCGGTCGAGCGCCCCTATAGCGTAATGAACCTGGAGAAACCCATAGATGCGGATATTAGGATCTTAGAATAGAAGCAAAGAAACATTGCATTTTATTGCAATGGCAAGAAATAGAGTTTTCACTAGATCATCTCATTTTTGGCACTAAAAACACAGGTCTTGAGTGATGTAATGGGGAGTATTTCTCTCACCACGTGTCATGATGGAAGGGAGCAGAATCCTCCCTTGGTCCGAAGCGGAAGTTCTCGCCAAATGTCGTTTAGAATTACAACATTTCCCCGATATGATGGACCGAATGAGTTATAATTGTATTGACATGCGCTAGAAAATGATATCGTTAAGGAATATAAAGTGGAAGGATGTTGAGAAGCAGTACGTGTCCGCGCAGCAGTGAGTACCTTGACGTCGGAGAAGATGAACGCATAATGTAACAGGTGACGTATGCCAAGATTTATGTTAGAAAGATAGTGATCAACGCGGCTCAGAAAGGTCATTTTACTGGTCGATTACATGCCTGGTAATGCACCGTCCGTGAGAGGTTGTGGCAACATCCCTTGGTGGCAAGGTTGTCCATCATAAGTGGAGATAGCGTGCACAAAAAGCGCATACCAAGATGGCCGAGTGGTTAAGGCGGTGGATTTAAGTCATTCTGGTCCCTCATCTCCACTATCGCAAGATTCCTGGGTTCGAACCCCAGTCTTGGTAGTTTTGCTGTTTTTGCCTTTTGGTCGACTCTCGTGCACGAGACGCGTTATTTTTTGCCGTCATGGCTGGGCGGTCAGTTTCGCAGACGTCCAGTCGTACATGCCCAAGCAGGATGCACCATCCATCGTCAATGCTTCATGCCGTCCATCGTCAGTCAGGATGACGCCCATCGACATTTGATCTGACGGACTGCCCTTTGTGGCTCATTTTTTTTCTGTCATTTTTCTTTTTTTGTCGCAGCGGAACGAGCGATAGAGCGGACACAAAGATTGCCTTATCCCGCCAGGCGTGACAGCTTGTCAATAGGGCTCATGGAATCATCCGTTGATGCGAGGCGAGGCGAGGTACTGCAAGCGCCTGAAGCCTCTTCCGTCCGTCCGTCCGTCTGCTGACTCCTGAGAAAAGGCCTCGGTTCTCACCCCTCATCGGCAACGCGATTTCTGTTTCACGTCACGCGGGCTGGAATGTGCCTACAAACGACCGTGACGACGAGCGGATCCTGGGTTGCCGACAGCCGTGCCGGTGAACCTCGCGCTTGGCAAATTAGCAAAATACTACGACGAGCAGACAACCCCACGCCAATCTCCTAAGAAAACTAGTCATGCTGCTAGCACCCTCGCCTTCGCCTCAGCTACCTTTCTGACCCTCAGTTGATCTACAGACTCGCTGGAATCCCATGACATGCATCCCCTCTTGCTTTTCCTTTTCATTCCCTTGTTCTTCATGACCCCTAAACCTCCCCCCCCCCCTTCGGCACTTGTGACACATCAATGGATCAGAATACAATGCGGCATTTAGAATCCTTGCCGGCGCGACGTCGGCGTGGGTCAGGATACGCAAAAACTACATGTCCATGGTAGGATGTCAACAAAGATATTGTAGTATCTGGTCGTCTCTCGCCGGCGAAAAAGTGTATTTTTTTTCTATTCATTTTTTGAATGTATTCATTTGGAATGCTTGTAAGCTATGTACAGGTTTTTTGTTTTTACATTTTTTTTCTTTGAAAGATTTGTATTGAGATATATACGCAGAGTAAATGTACACGTGATCATGACCGCCTGGGTCAAACTGACATCAGGGAGAAACACAACGCGACAAGGTCGGCGGCCCGCAGATGAATCGAGAATGATTTAGCATCCACCAGCCTGAGTAAGGAGGGCCAGCTTGTAGGGCAAGTCGTTGTAGTCTTGGCCCTCGGCGCTGGCATCGTAGCCCTGGTACAGGAACTGCATCTTGCAGGGATCAATGGTCATGGTCTCGTCGACGTTGGAGCGGATCATCTCGCCGTGGCTGAAAGCCTTGGTCCAGGCCTTGCCGGAAGCAAACTTGACGTTGTTGGAGCGGATGAAGGGGTTCTGTTCCGTGTCGGCCAGGGCGGTCCACGAGCCGGACAGGCTGGAGGCGTGCCAGGATCGGAAGTATCGCCAGCCGTCGCTGCCGGCGGCCTCGACGAGCAGGAGGTACTCGCCGCCGACGTTGTAGACGTTGCTGGCCTCGTACAGGTGGAGGGGCTTGGCCTCGTGCAGGATGACCTGGGGCTGGCTGAAGCCGCTAGGGAAGCTGGCGAGCGAGGTCGAGGCGCGGTACAGGTTGCCGTTGTCGTCGGACGAGAACATGAAGCAGTCGGACGAGTCGCAGATGACCCACATGTCCACCCACTGGCCGGGGCCCTTGTTCTTGGTGATGATGGACGGGATGTCGCTGTAGAAGGTCTTGGGGGCGGACCATCCCGACGGGTTGTTGATGTCGGCGTTGGTCGAGTACGACGCGCCGTGGGCCTGGTAGACGAGGTACCAGAGCTTCTGCGACGCGTGGTAGAAGACCTGGGGCGCCGCGCGGTAGCCCGGGCCGATGGGCGTCTTGTCGAGGTACTGGAACGTGGCCGACTCGGCCTTGTTCCAGTCGGAGAAGCTCAGGTAGACGAGGTTGTAGCCGGCCTTTTGCGCCGTGCTGGCGAAGACGTGGTATTTGCCGCCGTGGAAGATGACGGAGGGGTCCTTGAGGCCCTTGATGTTGCGCCCGTCGCTCTTGGGATAGATGAGCGGCTGCGTGGACGTCCAGGAGAAGGAGCTGGCGAGGTGAGTCTGGTTTCCGCCGCCGGTCCGCGACTTTGTGTCGTGCGACGAGTGCGCCGGCGCGGAGCCGGCCGGCGCGGCGGCAGCGGGGGCGCAGAGGGCCG